CCTATATTGATCAGTTATGCGACATGATTTTATTTTGAAGATTTATGATTTTTTCATTCTCTCCACTCATTAATATCAATTTAATAAAATAATTAACATAAATTTTTTTGTAAATCATAAATGTTCATAGGATATGTTATTCCTTCCTACTGTGCTCAATTTATTATAGTCAGCAATTTCTCCCGTTTTTATTCTAGTCAATAAATTTTATTTAAGTCAATTACTTTTTCTTTTTTTTATTTACATTTAAATGATTGGCTAGAAGTTTAAATTTTTATACAACATACAAGCATAAAAGTTATGGTTAAATAAAATGTCAACATTTTTTCGAAAAATAGAATTTTGGGGGCAAATTAAAAAGCTAAACGGGGCGGTTCATTAAGTAAAAATAAACCCAACTAGCAATATCCTGATATCCCGATGGGTCTATCCTGCTTTTGTTAAAGAATGTCTATGATGCATCATAAAAATACATTTATTCATTTTATTATACCAACATGTCTTTAAAATTGGTATTGAATCTCATTTATACAAAGGTAGATGTCGCTAGTTATTTTTATATGATTTGAAAACCCCTTATGAAAACCATTTAATTATTGATAATATTTGGTGATTTATCAACGTGATAGCATTATGTCCGTAGACCTAGAAGATCCACTATAATTTTTTTACAAAAAATTTTACCTGCTTGATTTCTAAAACTGACCAATACATTGTATAAATTTTAGTATCCTAAGCTTAATAAATAAAGACATTCATAATGTCTCTTGATTCAATACCGAAAGATATGCGATCTGCTAGAGCTTGTTTAGTTTGTTCATTAATTAAGGTATTTATTATATTTTAACCGATAATGTATTAAATTATTGTTAAAAACACTAATATCATTTATTATTTAAATTCAAAATTTTACAAATGTGAAATTTAAATTGCAGTTATAAATTTAGTGGTAAACTTATTTAATTTTTAAATCATTTTTTTAAGTTGTTTGTTACATATGGTTATGATAAATATTATCTATACACTATGATCTTTCTAAAAAAAAAAAAATTATTTATAATTAAGAAATAAATTTATATAAATATGAATATCATATTTAGAAATTCTCATAGTTGAGACATCTAATATACAAAATTAAAACTATTTGAAAAATCAAACTAGAGTGGTTCATAATCTAATTTTTTAGTTTTAATTTAGTTTTTAATTTTACAACTCTTGCATGTATATATTAAATACAAATTAAAATAATGTATATAAACTTAAAACTATATACAATACTATGCTAGTTACAATATGTACCTAACAGTTCAAGATTTTTTTTCATTAGTTTTCAGTTTTCAGATTTCAGATTTAAAAGTTTAGTAATAATTTAATTCATTTATATCATTATTTTATTTAATATATGTATTTATTTTTGTTAGACTTTTGATCAATTTGAATTTGATGGTTGTGACAACTGTGATGAGTTCCTTCGGATGAAAAATAACCGAGATCATGTGTATGATTGTACAAGTTCTAACTTTGATGGGTCTGTTGTACATTGATTTATTTTACTTAAATAAATATTATTAAACTGGTTTAACTTGTTTTCATATTGCAGAATGGTAGCTTTAATGAGTCCTGACGATAGTTGGGTGGCTAGATGGCAAAAAATTAGTGAGTTTTTCATTGTTTTAAAATGTTATATTTATATTTATATTATTTACTTATTGATTAGTGATATTATCAATAAAACAATATATATATATATATATATATACGTAAGAAGTAAATGTAAAGAAAAAAGAAATAATTACTTTTTCCTTTATCATCAAATTTATAATATAAAAAATTCTATAAAGTATTTATATTTTTGATAATTTAAAAAATTAAATATAAAAATATTTATACAAATTAGCATATAATACTAGTCAAAAAAGTGTATAGTAATAGTTCAGTAAATTAGATTCAAAATTATAGGAACATGATTAGTTATTAACATACTAAAAACCCTAAAGATTGGGTATTTACTATAACTCTTTTTGTGTTGACAAAAGCAGTTTTTAGTATGATATTTTTAAATATTGAGTTTATCAATATATACTTATATACTAAATTAAAAAAAAAATATTTCTATATTTTTTTGAAAAATATATATTTACTTAGATAAATGCACTTACTGTATTTAATAAATGTATTTATAATTATTTCTTATGACATTTAAATTGATTGAAACTTCTATAAGTATGTCTACCAATAGAATTTTTCCATAAATTGTGAAATTATTAGATATTATTTGTTGTTTTGTTTCGTTTTATTTTTAGTAGTTAAATCTTTAATTCAAATTATTTTTAAATAAAATCATTTATATGAGAAGCACTAAATCATTAATTTTATATAATATTGATACATATTAATATATTAAGAATTATCAAATGGGGGGTTTATATTGGAACACTAATGGGTGGTTTTTACTGGTTTAGTCTTATTAAATTAGACCAATTTAGACCTCTTGTTCTAAAAAAAACAAACTACCTAGAATTTGAATTTTTTTTAAGTACAACATTCCTCTTTTAAGTTATATCAGTAGCTTCAATAACATTTTTCATTTTTTAACAACATAATTTTACACTAATCTTGTTAAAATTATTCTCTAACATTATTTTTTTAATCATTGCTATTTGAGATGGTACTAGCTTTCTCAAAAATCTTATTCAGGTTGTTCTTAGGACAACACCGTAGAATTCTTCACTTAAATAAAAATTGTTAATAAAAATAAATATTGAATTAAGCTTAAATAATTATCTTAACTTTAATTAATTATATGTAATAAATTTTATTTTCAGATAGATTTACTAAAGGAATTTATGCCATTTCAGTGGCTGGACGATTGCCTCCAACTTTTATTAGAGAAATGAAAGCCAGAGGGATTCCATATCGCCCTAGAGATACAGCATTTAAATAATTTCACAATTATTGAGAAGTGTAATTAAAATAATTCACAATGTAATAATTTTTATTTTTATTTTAATACTTTGACTAATTTTACTTGAGCAAAATACAATATCATATGTTGTAAATACGAATAATCATATTTCATATAAGTTAACAAAATTAATTTTAAACATAGTTAATATAAATTTATTAATAAATAATTAAACTTTACAACTTTCAATAAGTACTGACAACAATTAAATAATATAGTTATTTTTAATCACTTAAAAAATTGAATTGGCCTTTCTTTAGTTGATGGTATAAAAGACATAGTTCTTCGAACTTTAACTTGTGGTTTTGCAGTCAAATTTTCGTCCTATAAATAAAAAATTAAAAAAAAAATTTTTTTTTAAGTAGATTTTTAGTTTATTTTGTATTTTGTAAAATAAATAACTAATTTAATACTAAGAATATTTGTTTTTAATTTAGTTTGTTAGATATTTGAATAATTTTTGCTTTTTATTAATTAAATAATAATTTTCATTATCAAACTAAAAAACAGCCAATTAGAGTTACCACTTGTCTTATAAAATAATATTTTATCATATATATTTATATATAACTTCTTTATGTTAAATTAAGTTATTCTAACAAATAACTATTGTAATCATTAATTTTGAGTTGGTAAATCAAATTAAGAAGTATAGAGCGTCTGAAGTTTTTCTATTTAGATACTATTTCATTTAATAAATGTAAAATAAAATGAATATTTCATGTACCTACATAATGTATTTTAATTCAAACAGATTACAAATAATTAAAACGAAATTTCATCATTTTTATATTAACCAATAACTATAAAAATGCCTATCTATTTATGAATTAATTATAGTTTTAATTAATACTACCCATTCATTAAAATTAATCATATGTGTTAAATAAGTAATGATTTTCCCATTATTCTTAACAACTAACCTGATTTCCTCTTAAATACTATATAATACCAAAATGATAATTCTTAATATAAATTTCAATTTTAATACAAAAAATCAGTATTACAAATAATCTTATAATATCTCAAAATTTACGTTCTATGATTAATTCATCTCCTGAGCGTCTATCCCAACTATTTGGAATCGATTCAACAGGTTTTTACACAGCTGTTTACCTGATGTGACCTTATTGTGGCCGAAGGTGCCAAAATAAGGGTAAGGTATGCGTTATTATTAAAGTTCCTATATGGTCACCTATCCGAGAACCAATAGCAAACAGTATTGCTAAAGCGGCGACTGATTGATCCAATATGCCATTGTTATTAAAATATTTGTTTCCATCGATCAAACAATTTATAAAACTCGATAAATAGAAAATAATTTTAAATATTTGACGTTGCTTTGTAAAGTATACTATCATTTAGAATTTCTGACTTTCAAACTTTAAATAGATCCATTTAAATCTGAACAATAACTTTAAAATAAAACAGATTTAACCTGCTGTAAAACCGTTAATGATGTCACAGCTTTTTCTGTAAAACTAATTTTCTTTTGAGCTCGACTTAACTCATCGTCTAATCTTTGTTTTTCAGCTTCCAATTCGATTAGTCTTTGTTGTGCTTCTAAAATTAATTAAAGATACATTATAATTAGTACTAATGTCTTATTAAAAGTATAACAGATTTTTATGAAATAATTTACCTAGTAATTGGTTTTCTTTTTCTCTTTGTTTTATTTCAAATTCCATTCGTTTTTCCCGTTCTTGTTCCAATAGTAACTTCTGCTCTTCTTGCAGTCTTTCGAGTTCTTCTCTCTTTTCCCATTCTTCCCTTAAAACCCTAATGACAATAAGTGAAAAATAATTAGGAGGTCAATATCGATATGAACCTATATTTTCTTCAAAAACGCAATAACATTTCTCAAAATGAATTGTTTTCATTTTTCTGTTCTACTTGTAATTTTATTAGATTATCTAATTTAACTATATAGATATCTTTAACTTTAAATCATCTATAGGATATACACTTCAATTGTATATAACTTATTCGTTTCTATGGTAAAATTTATAAAAATATAAAATATAGTATTTCAAAATCTATGAAAGTGTGTATATTTTTTACTTTAAATAGAAATAATAATGACATTTAATTCTTTACATTGTATAAAAATTACGTTTTTGAAATTCTTTTAACATTTTCTATTTATTGAGTTACAACCGTAAATTTAAACATAAGATAATATAAACAAAAAATTTAGCTTATTTTTTTTAAACTAACGACTTTATCCAACTTCATAGACATCAAGGCATATATTAACAATAATTTCAAATTTACACAAATTATTTTTAAAGCATTAAAATAATTTTATTTGTATAATTAAAAAATCAATTTTTAAAACCGCCCTATAATTTTTCAAATATAATAAAATTTTTATTTTTTTGAGTATAACTTGTAATATCGGATCAGTTATTGGTTTGTCTGAAATAATTCATATCGACGCGTTCCTAGTAAAAATGACAATTAACCTAAATCTAAATTGATCGATATTTTAATTTTACCTAGCTTGTAAGTTTCGTACTATTTCTTCATCACGCTTTGCCTGTGTTTCTTCTTCCAGCATATTTTCAAGTGCTTCTACGTGTTTTTCACTGGCTACTCTCAGTTCTTTAGCTTGAATTTCCATTGCTACTCTTGCCTATAAAACATAGGAGATTTTCATAACACGGCAATCAGATTTTTTCTGTAAATCTTACCTGCTTTTCTGCCTGTAGTTGAGCATCCATATCGTGTATTATACTACTTCTTCTTTGTTTTTCTTGTAATTCTGCTTTTCTTCTCTTTTGTCTTCTACGCAACAACGTTCGTTGATAACCTTCAGTCCCAGCCGAGTAGGATATGGCAAGTTTCAATGCAGATAACCATTGAAGTCTACTCCTAAAATTTATTTGATTAAGTAAAACAATATTAACAAAATTAATAACAATTTTTTTTAATTTGGGTAATACTTAACATTACCTATGATCTTTAGTTGCTAACTCAAAAGTTCTTTCTGTAGTATGTAGCATAATGCGTTGTAAATTTGAATCCACCCAACATCTTGGATCCAACATGATAGAACCGCACTGTTCTTTCTCTTCTTCACTTTTATAATAGAGTAATTGACAAGGCTTTAAAACGAACCAATACTCGCGTAATGTTGGTAACAAATAACCTCGCTTTAATAATACACCCTTAAAAAATATAAAAATTATATTATGTAGACTTATTCTAAGTTTTTAAATTCTATAAAATACTAGAAATCAAACCTTTTTAATAATGTCGTCGATAAACATATTAGTTACAGCGTTAAGGGCTTCTACTAGACCAGCTCGATCCACGTCGGTCAAATATTTTTTCTCTAATAATGTTAAAAAAGTACTAAACTGAAATCCGTTTGCATTACCTATAAGCTCTTCAAATCCGGATTGGTCCCAATCGGCTCCTAGTGAAGTAACTATTTGTGAAGCTACTAGGCCTACTTCCGATGTATCCATTATTACCTGTAAGAAAAAACTAGTAAATTTCATACGGAATTTATAGACTACTGATATTACTTGAAATCGATTTGGTCGTTCTGGATCGGTTTGCAACTCGGACAAGAAACAAAATACCCTGAACAATTTGTACATGCAATCTTCTGGTAATACTTGACATTTTTTTAAATAATCTTTTTTACATATTAACCAACAAGTCTCATCTATTTTAGATTCAAATTCTTGAAGTATCGGTAACGACAAAGTATTTGGCAAGGACAAAAAAACCTTTAAAATTTCAATGACATAAATCAATTATTATAGTTACTATGTCTAACAAAATAAAAGAATACCTAATAAAACATGTTTAATCGGTAAACATTTCTAAACCAGTACTAGAAATTTATTTACATTTATAGAATTTATCTGGAGGAAACGCGTGGTGAAGAAGTGTACATAGATAACCATTATTTTAAATTTCTTCTTTTTTATGTTATGTTTTCTACATCTCTAAGTACTGATCCAACTTTTTTATAAGTCAGTCATTTCTTTATTTTATGAAATACAATTAAACCACTGAATGAAAAATAATAATACCTCTCAAATAAATTATAATTAGACTCTATTAGTTAATACATATAAAAACATTTCCATACTAACCTCTCTGAGAAGATAATATTTGAAGTGCTGAAAGTTTAAACTAGAAGTACTTCTGTAATGTTCAAGACCTTTTTCAACACCATAGAGATCGAGTAGAATTCCAATGTTGGCCGTTAAAACCTATAACCATAATTTATGCTTATCTTAAAGTTTCTAATCTTTGCAAGTATGTGTTGTAGTTTTTAAATGGGAATACTATATTTAAAAACATTTAATGTGAACAATAATTCTATTTGTCTTTTATTCATTATTGGAATACCGTTTGTGCCATATTTTTTCTACGTATGCACTTTTAATTTTTTATCTACTTAACAATTATAAATGAAACATTTCATTTCTCCAGACTACAAAGACATACTATAAATGAATTTATAATTATATTAATATAATTATATTCGCCCACAACATACGGTGAAATGATAAATCCTTTGTGAACACATGTTGTATGTAATATTCTAGTAATTCAATTATAAACATAAATTTTTATAATTATACACGTTTTTAAAATTAAAATCTTACAATAGTAGTTTTTCAGATCCTATTTTACAGGTAATTTATATTATCATCATTAAATGCAGTAACTTATTGTAAACAATACATCTTTGCAATAATTGTTCGAAACTAAACTATATATATCTTAAAAATAGTCATTTTCTATTAACTAATACAAGTAAAACAATTATTAATTCATTTTTATCTATAATTAGTTAAGTAATAAAAAATATCTGAAATTAATGTAAATAAAAATATTTTCATGTCGAATTTTTTTATGTCTATATGAGAAATATATTATTTTTTTTTTACCAGAAAAATATTTTGCTTGACGATATATTAATTTATTTTATTACATAAACCTACATGACAGTTAGTTATTAATTTGATAACAGATACGATAAAAATAAATGCCATGTATTTCACTATGTGTATTACTTCATATAATTAATATAATAGTCATTATGAAGTTCTTATCTACATGAGAGTACAAAAATTATTTTTTATCAACGGTATAGATATAAAACTGCATTTACATTAGGAAACAAGTTAGGAAACATGTGCAGTAGGAAGCTGTGATTTATTTAACTTTTAACAATATGGTATTTCAATACAAAAACAAATTATTTTTCTCTAATAGTTTTTTTTATTTATGTCTATTTCTAACAGTCTCGCCAAAGAATTAAAGAAAACATTATGTTCCCACATTAAATATGTAAATAAAAAATATGTTAATAAAAACAACCTTAAACAAACGCGACTAAAATAATTTTAGAATTATTCTGATCTACATCCATTATTCAATTAAATATGCCCTGATAAACTACTTTTATTTTCTCGGTAAAATATATTATTTAGTTGTTACTGGTTTTTTTTTTTTTTAAATATGTATTATATAATTTTTTTTAAAAAATTTATTTTAATATTTTAATTTAAACTACGAAATCACTAATAACTTTTACAGATTATTTCTGATACAAATAACTCACAATTATTTTTATTAACTTCAACTGAAAATGATTATATGTTGTATTTACTCATTTACTTATTAAAACCAATGACGTGTTGATAATTACCACGTTACAACCAAATTATTATAATTAGAATCACTTTTAAAGGAAAATTAAAAAAAAAAATTTTTTCACGATTTAAATTCTAAAAACTACAAGGTGCCATAACCGGACTTAGAAAAAAAATGTCTAAATCATATATTTATTTTTTAAATTTACTTTCTGTAATCCATATCATCTATAAAAATTGAACGATAAATTGAAATGCTGAGTTACTCCTACTTTTACTCCGTAATACTATGTTATACATTTAACATGACATACTGTATAGAATTATACACTGTAATACTTTATTAATTTTACTTGCAGGATTTCAGTCAGAAATATTTATTTTTTATTATTTAAGCAATCTATACTATTTGAAGAATTTCCTCTACTTATTTCGTAACCACTGGTATGTTTTTATCATTGTGAATAAATATCATTAATAGATTTAGACACAAGCGAAAATTGGGGGGACTTGGAGCGGTTTAGCTTCTCTTACAATCTTACCGTGTCTAGATTTTTCAATATTCTTCAATGATTAATGCATTAATAAATTTACAAATTTATCTATGATTTATATTAAAAAGGATTTGCCAAATAATTTGTTTACTTAAGAATTATTTATTATAATAACCATTGTAATACCAGTATAGGTATTCCGGAACGGGTGGTACTAAGTATGGTTCATTCGATGGTTCTGTTTAATATAAATATTTTACGCCCCTCCAGGAGAATTTTGAAATTGCACCTATGGATTTTGGAACCTTCCTAGCTCAAACTTCGAAGAATTTTTGTGAGTAGAATCAAAATCATCTAACATCATAATGTTAATAGTAATTTAATAAAAATTTGATTATTGATTCGTCATATTAATATATTTAATAGTACTCATATGTAAATTGTTTCTTTGAATCCTATTATAAGTAAATAAAACTTTTTGGATTTCAAACAGAAATTTTAATACTAATGGAGAAATCATGCTATATTTCCAAGTACTTAAATAATTTAGTTTAATAGAACGTAGTAGCATTATTTTGCTAATAAATGTATTTTAATAGACTACCTTTTAAGAATACTTTAGTTAATACTTCACACTGTGAGTACAAGAAACCCTTTCATAAGTTGAAATTATTTTTAATATTTATATTAAGTTCAAGTCAACTTTTATGTAAGTTTCTTGTATATTTAGAGAATAATAAACTATATTGAATTGTATAAAAATGTCGAATGTCATGACTTTTGATACATGGCCCTCTTGCACTCATAGTGTGATTTATTTATTTATTACAATAACTTGATTAAATTGTTTTAAAAAATTGTCTAAAAGCAAAAAAAAAAAAAGTAGTAGCGTTCTCATCGACACAGTAAATAAGTACTTCAAAAAACTAACATCACACAATTTTATTAATTTTTACAGTTTGTGTAACACCTATAAGATAGTTAAAAACTGGTTTGATAGATAAATTGTTCGGTTTATTTTTTTGTTTCACTCTTTTACTACGTCATAAAAATAAAAATAACATATATTTAATTTATAAAACGATTACTATGTATATTTTAGCGATTTTAATGAAAATTCAAATAATCAAAAAGTATTTTTTTCGTTCTTGTAAATATTGCAATTTGATAGCGTAGTTTAAAACAAACAATTGACTTTTATAGATGACTGTATTCAATGATTCATTGTATTGGAATCAGAAACTCAACAAGTATGGCTCATAAAATACATTTAAATTAATTAATTGTATAATTATACAATTTTAAGTGAAATAGAATCAATAGAAAAAAACCATTAACGATTTACTCTAAATAAATGAATAACAACAACAATAATAAGTATGAGTAATACACATTTATCATATCAGGAAATTTTAATCCCCTCCTGTATAGATAAGAATTCTGCACTCACTTTTAATTTAGATTTGACAACAGTTCCGATATTTTCCGTGTCTAACGAATTAAATGCTTGCCATATACAGTTGGTCACATTTTTTAACAAAGTCGCCATCGCCAGATCATAATATTAAATACAAAACAAAGTTACCTGATGAACAGAGTAACGAGTCAAAGAGAAAAAAATAAACGTTTGAACGACAATCACAATATTGCACACTGCACGAGCGCCCGCACTGTTCCGATTATAGTCATAATAATACATGCGAATGAAATTTTGTCTTGAGCGTTCAGCGTGAAGTAGTGGCAGCTAGTGCCTAGTACAACGAGGAAAGGCTCCTCGCAAAATATACACGGAGGTGATGGAAGGCCGCCGCGTCGCTTCCTTGATCCGGTTCTCCGCCACCGCTGAACGAGTGACGACCACTCCCCGCGTCCACGGTTTTGACCATATATGAACTTTCAATGTCACCCCGCATTAACGGTGTAACCCATCAAGACAAGTATGGTATTAATATTTATAATAAATGAACAACATAATAATAAACATATTGTTATTGTTGTTAATTGAGTTTATTGATGTCTTATGGTCCATCAATTATTAGCTTACACATCCACCGACACTTATTGTCACACATACACGTGTAAACATTATTTTTCGCAAAAATGTATTTTAAACACAATTGAAATTGTCAAGTTTTAATTAACAATTCAACAGTGTATAATAACATAAAAACCGATAATATCAAGTGGAAGTTGGATAATGTTTAGAAAAAATTCATTTAATTAATTCTTATAATAAAAAATAAGAATAATTTTTTCCAACTAACCAACAATCATAATAAAGATCAAATAATTTAGACTCATCCCCGATTTACCGAGTAAAAAGCAATAAATCTTGCATGGACATTATCTAACACACAAATGAATAAACTAATTACTAAAATAACTTACAGTAATGTAATTATGTAACATTTTATAAATTGTTTAAAAGAATATAAGGCCTACCGTCGAAAAGAAGTCATATGCGTATTTTCCATAGTGCAATCACTAATATAAATAATTTGGCCTCAAAATTTTAATTAATTTATTTAATAATATGTTTAATCCAAACTCATTATTGACATTTTATAACGATGGCTACATGTCAGACACGAGTATTGTTATTTTTACCATTAGTTATTTCTCGGGTTCACTCTTTCTCCCGCGCTAGGTATAATACCGTTAATAACTATTGAAATATTCGCCCAAAAAGCTGTTATCGACCAGTCATTTTTAATATTAGATCATTACCTAATAAATAAGCTAATAATTTAAATATGTTCCCATTTGAAAAATTAAAATTGACATCCTTATAAGGTGTAAGGGTTAAGAATAATAAATACTTCATGATTTATACATTGAGAAAAATATACATCTAAAAGAAACCAAATAAAAAATACTGTATACTTGTTTTGCTGCCATCATAGTATACTTTATTAAAATTTCTATAGTTTTTTTTTTCAATACATAACAATTAAGTAATTTCATTAATTTTTGCACTTATTTAAAAATAATAATAACTGTTATGAATATTTTTACTGTTCGAAAATAACTTTAATTTCACAATTTCTATTATTAAACAACGGATTTAGAAACCCGTTATTTTACTAGTATCATTTGCTTTATTATAATGTAAAAGTAAATGATACTGTGCTATCAATAAAATTTTGGCATTCTTCAGACTAACACAAAAGTTAAATAAATTCTGGATATTAAATCAATAAACATTAGTATTTTACTAATAAATATATAAACTAATCATATTAACAAGCAGTAAATCGTACATTTTTTAAATTTAAATGACAGTATTAGTGATAATATTAGTGACATTTAGATATTTTTATTTTTATTGACTTAATTACTAAGTGTCAGACCTTATACATTACAATAGATTGTTTTTATAAAACTTAGATAATACATGGATCGATTATAGAAAATATACAAGAATTATAGTTGTGTTAAAAACTATAAAGTTTTTTTTTTGTTATTAAACTATTTTAGTTTTAATATCCAAAATCAAATTTAAATGTTCATTGAGTTTAATTGAGGTATCTTTAATATATTTTATAGATTGAAAAATATAAATTAAAAAAACTTTATAATAATAGACAATTACTTTGATTTCTACTGTTAAATTCTTTAACACACAAGATAATTGATGAAAAGTTTAAAATTGTATTCAAATAACAGTAAAACATTATTATTTGTATTATACAAAGCAGTAAGTATTTTACCAAACATTTCTTCTGACAAAAAAAAAATATCAAAATTTTATTTAAATGAAAATTAAATATTATTATTCATATACATATCATTATTTTTGGTAACTGTATATATAATTATATTATTGCTACTGAGTCCTATAAAAGAATTATTATTAACTTAATATAGACTTATTCTAATTAAAGCTTCAATAGTTTCTTACCTGATTTCAATATAACTAATATTCATGATAAGAACACAACATAACATTCATATAAGAATACAAAAGTGATTCTGATATTTTTAAGTAAACTAAAGCTTTGAACTTTATCATATTTCTACCATATTATTATAGTTCAATCGCAACAGTTATAAAACATCAATAATTATTTTTCAAATTTAAAAGCTTTTAAAACAATTAAATATCCATACACGCACATATATATTAAACACTGAAATTGTAATAAATATTAATACTAGTTAATTATCAAATCATCTACTACAGGCTAAAACACCTGAACTATTAATAAATAACAAACCCTTCGTGATTTATATTTTACAATATTAACGCTTGATAACTTATTCTCTAAATTCACAATTACACTTAATATTTTACATTTATGATTGAAAAATCACACGCTTATGTTATCATATAAATTATTACTCAAATTTGTACAACATCAGATGTTAGATGTATATTGAACAGGACATTTTGTTTTTAAGACTTAATTGTAAATTATATATTTGACATTAATTATAAGTAATAGTAACTTATGTTATGAATATATTCAAAACATGAATATATTTTATTCACTACTTAAAACACACACACATACTCACATATTTTTAATTTCTAAATATAATAGTGTCAAAACTAGTATACTTAAATCTTGGAGTAACGATACAATAAAACAGTTGAGTATTAATAATATATCATACGAAAATCGGTTAATAATTTCATTTTTCACTAAATACAATGTGTTTACTTTATCAAATGCTTATAACATTGAGGTATCATATATTTTTTTTTAATGATAATTATGGAATTGGCTGTATAGGCAGCTGAGTAATATAAAGGGGAACGCAGTCTCAGTAAATGGAAAATTTTACTGCACTGTAACTATTGTCCAACGAGAGAATATGTGGTATGTTGAAGACTGATCCGATTCCGATGGCCATAGAACAGTCCTAGGCGCGCTGTCTGTGCCATATCCGCCTCTAGGTTTCAGACGGTGAACTCTTCAGACGAGCCATTCAAGTCAGACGTGCGTGCCGCCACCGCCAACTTCTACTCCCAAGTTACGAACAGCGGCAACGATGTTTCTATTGTCAGGCTCCGGGTCCTCCGGTTTCATTGCTAACTGAAATTTCTGCAATGACATAAATAAATAATAAACCAAAGTCTAGTTCGTTTAAAATTTTGTATATGTAGTCCAGACAGTTGCACTCTTAAAAACAATGTTCAAATATTCACATACGCGTACTGGAAGCTTTAACGCATACAAATTTTGATCCTCTTCTTTTTCCTCGTCTTAATCCCAACTACTTGGAGTCGTCCCCCTTATCTAAACTTCCACTTGGAACGATCACTCACATCGGCCGTTCTCATATCGCATTCAGTAACATCCCTTGGTCTTCTTCTACCTCTTCTTCCTTCAACATTCATTTCTATGACTGTTCTTACGGCTTCCGATTACTCTCTCCTCATAACATGACCAAACCGTCTAAGTCTATTTTCTCTCGTCCACAATTGACACTACACCTATACTCCCTCTTATATGCTCGTTCCTTATCCTATCTTCTCTAGTCACTCCACTCATCCATCTAAGCATTTTCATCTCTGTTACACTCGTTCTCTGCTCTACTTTCTTATCAACCGCCCAACACTCTGAATCATATATCATAGCTGATCTCATTACAGTCTTATAGAACTTACCTTTCAGCCTCATTGGAAATCTTTTATCGCATAACGCACCAGACGCTTCTAACCTCTTCAACCATCCGCACTTACAAACGCTTACAAATTTTGATAATAATGATAATAGTGTAATGTTGGTGTATGAATTTTTGATACTTTTTGTTAAAATTACGCTACTTGTATGCTAAATTAACGTTTATATTAAAAATATCATACTGATTGAGAATTTTTAGATTATTTGAACTAATGTCACATAATGACTCAAAAGATTTCTTCTTCTAGTCAGAAAAATTTTAAATGGATTTCCATATTTTTTCAAATTTTGTGAATCGAAAAATACAAAAATGGTATAAAATTAATGAAAAAATCGGTAAAGTAAAAATTGATAAAATTAATATGTTTAGGTTAGTTAGGTTAATTTTATTATTTTAATAAATTAATTATTTACAAATTTGTATAATATAAAAAATGAATTGTTTTTGTTTTTGTTTAAATCTATAAATAAAAGTAATTAAGTATAATAATAAATTATACTTGTTGATTATAATTGGTTACGAATGTTCATGTCTAGAAANAAACGATCACTCACATCGGCCGTTCTCATATCGCATTCAGTAACATCCCTCGGTCTTCTTCTTCCTTCAACATTCATTTCTATGACTGTTCTTACGGCTTCCGATTCCTCTCTCCTCATAACATGACCAAACCGTCTAAGTCTATTTTCTCTCTTCCACAACTGACACTACACCTATACTTCCTCTTATATGCTCGTTCCTTATCCTATCTTCTCTAGTCACTCCACTCATCCATCTAAGCATTATCATCTCTGCTACACTTATTTTCTTCTCTACTTTCTTATCAACCGCCCAACACTCTGATTCATATATCATAGCTGGTCTCATTACAGTCTTATAGAACTTACTTTTCAGCCTCATTGGAAATCTTTTATCGCATAACGCACCAGACGCTTCTAACCTTATCAACCATCCGCACTTACAAACGCTTACAAATTTTGATAATAATGATAATAGTGTTATGTTTGTGTATGAATTTTTGATACTTTTTGTTAAAATTACGCTACTTGTATGCAAAATTAACGTTTATATTAAAAATATCATACTGATTGAGAATTTTTAGATTATTTGAAAAATACAAAAGTGGTATAAAATTAGTGAAATAATCGGTAAAGTAAAAATTGATAAAATTAATAGGTTTAGGTTAGTTAGGTTAATTTTATTATTTTAACAAATTAATTATTTACAAATTTGTATAATATAAAAAATGAATTATTTTTGTTTTTGTTGAAATCTATAAATAAAAGTAATTAAGTATAATAATAAATTATACTTGTTGATTATAATTGGTTACGAATGTTCATGTCTAGAAACTTTTTCAAGTTGGGATTATATTATGCGCTTACAATAGAATTACTGCAGTGTTGTTCTATACTTAAGTTGACCCGATCTTGACAGACTGGAATAGTTTCTTAACCACAAACCAATATAACGACAATTACGAAATGCCTACTAAATGCTTTGTTCTGTTATCATTTACGGTGCTATATTATTTCTTAGTAGTGGAAAATGAAATTCAAACAAGTAATAGTTAGTGTAATTCTAAACATTGAGTAAACTTAGTATAGAATTTGTTTAAATCATTATAAAATTAAATTACGTTTTTAAATTTCAAATAAAATTGTTTGAAATCCTCGAATATGGCGTGTTAAATTTAAAATAATGAGTGTTATTTATTACATTTTATGTAATAAAATGTTTTAATTTTTTGAAAATTATTGTACTACTGACTTTTTCCCACGGTCCTGGAGTCTTGATTACTTTATAGATAAAATATGCGGGTATGCATATGATCGAAGATGCCGTCATTAACCAACCAATATTGATGCTCCAATCTGGATAATTATAGTTATAACCAGCCATCATATCTTTATACCCCAAAATAGTGAAAACAAATATCGACTAAAACATAAAAAATAATTTTAGTCAAGGTTGGAAATTAATCTATCAATAAGTTGTAGTTAAATTAAACTTTTAGCATAACATAGGAAATTGCATTTTACGTTATGTTATAGTTGATTTCTCTTTTGTTAATTTAACACAACCTATTAACGTATACTTTTGGTATTTTTCGTTAAATACTTTTTTTTAAATTCTGAATACGAAAAAAAAAATTTAGGACGACAAATTTTTGGAAAAATTATTATCATTATTGCATATTGTTTTCTTCGTAGTGATAGTGCATATCTCGATTTTCGAAATTATTTAGGAAGAATAAAAGAGTGCACTTGTTTTTGTGTAACTAACAATTGAAATAGGTTTTTTAAAACTGCATTATCTCAAGAAATACTGGATATTATTTATTTTGAAACTCTTATAATATTCGTTCACTGTAAATATGTATTTCTTTAAACAATATTAACAATTTCAAAATTTTCAGAAACATGTTTTATCAATCAAGACGATCCATACGACGTAATTTTCACTAGTTTACATAAAAATAAATACATTTTGTGAAGAACAAAACGATTTATGTTTAAAACTTCGTGTTTTTTGTATGGAAAAAAATGAAAATACACAAAAAAATTTAATCAGCCTAAAATTTTGATATATTTACAAACCTACTAGTACTTGCATCAACTTATTTCGCTAAATTATTGATATTTTGTCAACCATTGAATTATTAAAAAATGTTGGAGAAAAAAGAGGTAGAGGAAGTCTNTTGGCTGGAAATTAATTTATCAATAAGTTGTTGTTAAGTTAAACTTTTAGCATAACAGAGGGAATTGCATTTTACGTTATGTTATAGTTGGTTTCTCTTTTGTTAATTTAACAACTTATCAACGTATACTTTTGGTATTTTTCGTTAAATACTTTTTTTTTTAAATTCTAAATACGAAAAAAAAAATTTAGGACGACAAATTTTTGGAAAAATTATTATCATTATTGCATATTGTTTTCTTCGTAGTGATAGTGCATATCTCGATTTTCGAAATTATTCAGGAAGAAGAAAAGAGTACACTTGTTTTTGTGTAACTAACAATTGAAATAGGTTTTTAAAACTGCGTTATCTCAAGAAATACTGGATATTATTTATTTTGAAACTCTTATAATATTCGTCCACTGTAAATATGTATTTCTTAAAAACAATATTAACAACAATTTCAAAATTTTCAGACACGTGTTTTATCAATGACGACGATCCATACGACGTAATTTCCACTAGTTCACATAAAAATAAATACATTTTGAGAAGAACTACACGATTTATGTTTAAAACTACGTGTTTTTTGTATGAAAAAAAATGAAAAGAAAAAATAAAATACCCAAAAAAATGTAATCAGCCTAAAATTTTGATATATTTACAAACCTACTAGTACACTTGCATCAACTTAACTTATTTCGCTAAATTATTGATATTTTGTCAACCATTGAATTATTAAAAAATGTTGGAGAAAAAAGAGGTAGAGGAAGTCTAAAACAGAGATGGAGGGATGTAATTGAATGCGATATGAGGACGGCTGATGTGATCGTGTCAAGTGGAAGTTTAGGATAAGGGTGGCCGACCCCAAGTAGTTGTGATTATAAGCCGAGGAAAAAGAAGAAAGAAGAAGATTAACTTTTTAACAATATAATAATAATAACAAATTAATTGAACTATTAACTCATTGACTTTTTTCAATTAACTTAGTTTTGACAAGTAAAACACTAGCTTGGCCAGCCTTTATTTCAGTAAACTAGAAACTATCAGCAATACAATGACCAGCATAAAATACTATCATTTAAAACACGCGCTCATACCAACGTAATTATACAACAAAAGTTTTATTACAATTTTACTAAAACTTAATCAAATGTATTTTAATTAAAATAGCTGAACTATAAAGAAACGATTTTTTTTAATAAAAACGTTTCATTCTTAAAAAGTATAAAAAAAACACTTAAAATATAAATATTGCTAGTGATATCTCGTACCAATAGGAACGCAGGACTTATATAACACCAGCATAAGCGCCAAAATAAACCAGGTTTGTGTCCTATCATCATTTCAATGTCGTTAGCAAATCTGTCAACGCCGTAAACCCAACAAACTGCAGCAGCTTCGACGAACACAACAAACAGTATAGCGATGCCAGGTCCAAATACATTCAACAAATTTATCAAGTAAACTCCTCCCTAGGAAAAACAGGTCATTATCAATATCTATACCCAATAACTATTATTTTTATTATAAATTATCAATGAAAATTAGGTTGTGAATTTAAATAAAACAACAAATTGGGTTTAAAATAATAGTTTTCTGCTTATGTTACGGTTTTATCGTAAACCACTTAGCCGCCTTTCTTTTTAAGTGTTGATACTGTGCAATGCATTAACATAAAGCCATTACCTATTAGGTGTGCTCTTAAATTTGTCTAAGACAATTGAGGTAGTGATGGAAAACATTTTCGGTAGTAAAAATAATCCCTACCGGTCACTTATAACATGATATTAAGCATTCAGTTGAAGTATCTAATGCAAACCATTAGTGGATCGGTCGAGTACACATTGGTCGAAAATTAATGACTGTCCGCCTCTAACTTTTGACCTACCGAACTAGATTCACAGCAACCACAACTGCTAGTTTCCGTAAAGCTTCTTCGACTGTTTTTCTATTTTCTTTGCCCGAGAGTACACAGTACTAATTTTATCATTAAGCGTCATCTTATCTGAGATACAAACCACTAAAAGCATTTTCATTAAAGGTTTATAGATGACTGATCACTATGATTGCTATTACTTAAGGGCTCGATTAAAAATTAACTGAGGTATGGTTTTGTAACGCCAATTAGAGGTGGTTCATTACAATTGAAAGCTTTAAAACGATCAAGACGTTTATCGTTACAGATAAATATTTCTATTTAAATATCTAAGAAAGTTACACGATAAACTGAAATTAAGATCCATTGTGGATACTTATTCGTTGAAACGCTTATTCAGTAGGAACATTTATTTAGCATAAAGCCAACGTCGCAATGATTGTGTGACCTTTCACCAGTTACACTTACTAGTTCAATATGAATAGTGAGGAATTTAGATTAGGTTTACTGCTGACCAGTTTAAAGGCTTATTTGTAGTATAACGGCGCATTCTTTTTAGTTTTTTTTTTTTTTTATCTCTCGTATATAACTGATTAAACTACTTGAGTGAAAAACGAATTTTGATTAATTTTATATACTTTTCTCGCAAAATTATAATTCCTATAGGAGGCAAACTAACATATACGCTTAGAGCAAACACCAATTTAACAGTTATCGTAATATTATTTCACATTAATAAATATCTAACGAAAAAATCTTAAACTAAGTTTAATGTCGAGGCTTTATAAAAGACTAACACTATTTTATTATCACATTGTAATAAATATTATATGAAAAAATATTTTACATAAGTGGTTGTTGGTAACGACAAAATGTAAATGACAGCCACTAACGCAGCGACAAACAACTCTCTGTTTCTTTTCAAAACATTTGGATACTCGTCACACAAACCTGTGATGATTGCTTCTAACCCGCCAAATGTACTGTCTAAACCTAAAATCAAAGTGTTCAAATCGTTATTTACATTGAGTTTATTTAACTTAAACAATAACATTTTGTCATAATAGTTTGATTACAATAAAACACGAAAACTAATATTTCTGCAAAGAACCAAAGACTTGGAGTATCTTGTAATTTTTTGATAAAAATAATGCTCATTGTTTTTCTTTTGCATTAAAACAATTAGGTGTATTATTGAACTGAATGTATATTATGTTTATATATGTAAGTGTATTATGTTGGTTTTTAATATTGAGCCAAATACGCATACTTACCTAATGTGATAAGTAGCAAAAAGAATATTATAGCCCACAAGACAGAGCCAGTCATCATAGCGATGGCTTCGGGGTACACTATGAACACTAAGCCAGGACCTAAAATAAGTAAAAAGAGATTAGTAAATTACAATATCCAGTACACACTGGACGTACCTTCAGCTCCCACTTCGGAAATACTCTTGTTTTGAACGTGTGCCATGTATCCAAGCATAGTAAATATAACGAAACCGGCCAAGAAACTAGTAAGGAAATTTATAGAACTAGTCAGTATGGCATCCCAATAGCAATTGTTATTAAATTTGTTGTAGCTCGAGAGTGCCAGGAGCGTACCAAAACCAGGGCCCAGGGAAAAGAATACTTGCGATGCCGCGTCTATCCAAACCTGCGATCAAAATACGATGTTGAAAGTTGGTGTATGGCGCCACTCGAGTGTTAGCACATACTTTGGTATTTAGCAGTTTGTCCCATTGTGGCGTCAAGTAATATCGAATACCTTCGCCAGCGCCCGGCAACGATATACCTTGAAAAAGCAACATGAACAACACGACGTAAGGGGCGAGTGATGTAATCCAAACAGCCTGAAAAATAAAGTACCTTTTGACCGTACAATTACGGACGGCGCGTAATCGCTAGACTTTGCTAGCCAGCTGACTTTATCGGGTACACGGAACCGTGTAACATTTAATCAAAGAACGCAGCGTCAGAAAGAATGCGAAAAAATTGCTACAACGGGTCAATCTATAATTCATTAGACGTCAAAGGGATAAAAACGCGTGTAATAAAGGGGAGTTGGGAATGGCGTTCAATCACACTTCCGAGCAGCGGACAAAGGGTAGACCTGGATAATTTTAAAAACAGTGAGCATGCGATAACAGATTTTCTACCGGTCTCACTATAACACTTACCGGTAATGAGCTTAGCTCGCTGCATAATAAGTTTACTTAGACTGATTGACTGCACATGCCTTTTAATATATATAGACACACAACTACGTCTCGTGTACACTATATTTCTATTATTTTTACATAAATTGAATACATTTCAATTGTATTACCCGTGTAAAAGAAAAATATTTTAAATCGTATTTTTTTCGGTTCGTATTAATCTTCTGCACGAAAGTATAATATTTTAATTAAAACGAAAATCACAACGACATCACTTACCATACCTGTACTCCTGACGCCCTTCCACAAAGAAAAATAAACTAATAAAAATACTGCCAACAAGCACAACGCCAGAGACCACTTGATGCCGCCGATTCGTTCTAATCCGTTCGATCTGTGCTGTTCCAAAACACTTCTCCTGTAACGGAAACATATTATTATTATTACAGCCACTCTTTTTAGCGGTAAAAACAATACGGTCGCAGTCTTACTCAAAAAATTCTTTGGCCGGACTCGTCGAGATATTGTTGACGAGACCTGTTAAATTGGTGACAGGAGTGCAGTTTAAGGTATTCCACGGATTGTCACAGCTAGTCCAGGGAAGTTCAGATCTCATCGAAGAAAATAGATAGTAAACTGCCCAGCTTATAATTGTGTTATAGTACATTCCCATATACATGTCTATTAAACATATAGCATACCCTACACCTGTAAACAAACAGTAATTATTCTAATCATTACTAAATATTTTACACGTCCAAATTGAGGTTTCTGTTTAATTTTCTTATAAAACATTTAGTTAATTAATAATAAATAATTTTGCTTCGTTTTATATGAATTATCTATAAGTCATACAGCTTATTATACAAAACAATTAACCAAGTCTAAATATATTTGTCAACTCTCTTGAAAATTAAATGTATGCCATAAAAACGCTTTAAAATAAAACTAAACATCTAAGAAGCATTACCATTTTTATTAATCGTAATTAATATCTTTATAAATATTTTATTCATCAATCATCACTCCATCATTAAAATTCATAAAAAATTGAAGTCGGTTAAAAGCTTTTGATAAACTCACATAATTATTCAAAAAAAGTATAATCATTTTCCGACTATTTAATTTTCTGAAACATTCTATAATGGCTACTATAAAATACCGTTGTCTAGCACAGATGTTGTTTCTAAAAAATAATAAAACTCATAGGAGTGTGAACATGGGGAGAATAGATGGCTGTCACTCGTTTGAGCTGTTGTCCACTACTTACACATATAAAACTTTGCAATGTTTTGGAACACTGTAAATTAATCATAAGACAATAGCGCTTTTGCTCGACAAACATATTTTTTCAACTTGAACACTCATTATATATAAGATTATGACAATTTGTGTTCGCCAAAATGATTTTAACAAATATAGAAATACATGAGCTTAATTTCAAATTAATTCTTGGCTCTAAACTAATGAAAATGTTCATAATTCTTTTTTAGACGATTTAGTCATTGATAAACATTAACATGATTTTTTCCTTGAACATGAAAACGAGTTATTTACTCTTGATTTTTCTATATAATTTTTTAAAAATCCTAATACAAATTGCTAATGTTGAGCTATAAATAAATTCATTCAATCGTTTCTCGTGCAGTGGTAATTTTGCACAAAAACCATTGTGTATACGCTCTATTAGAGATTTGTGAGTCCTAAATCGAAGATATCTATGACCTTTTTCATTCATTTTCTATAGTCGAAATGGAGAAAAATTATAATAATATGTTAAATATACAATATGGTGTAGTAAATTTTGTTTAAGTATGCGAATATCTAATAGCTTTCACCTATGCATTTGTACAGTGTATACATCAATTTTCAAATTCGAATCTGGGTATACGCCGTGTACCCCTCAAATCTACACTGGTTTCTTGACTAGAAGTTAATATGGAAACAATGTATCTCCGTGATAAAATTATAGGCGTTGTAAATCAACTTAGTGCCAGACTGTTGATGCAATTATTTATAATTAGCAACTCTGATCATTCAATAATAATTTTCAAAGTTTATATACATCATGAGAGGTGTTTATGAATGGAAACGTTGATTTCGAATGCTCATTAAACACACAACCAAGATATACATTGACAATTAATAATTTAATCTAATAAACTAGTACATCCAGTTTGAAAGTGTCATACCGCTTTTTAATTACATTTATTAAGTAATACTCGATTTTATCTTAAGCATCATCATAAATTATTTAATAATAAAAAACAAGACGAACATCACTACCAATTCAAAATTTAAGATATGTATTAAAACTTTGTCTTTAATTCGAATTCTATTATCTTATTTATAAAAATATACAGTCTAAAAGAAATAATTTTATTTATAAGAAATATCATTTAGAAGTAATGTTTAGCAAAAAATCACTAACAAATTATATTAAAAGGAACATATTTTAAGTATTTATAATTTTTTTTTTTGAATGATTCATTTTTTTTTAATTTATCATAATTTTAAAGCCAAAATATGTTTAAAAATATTGAATTTTTTTGTTTTCAGATACATTTATTTATTGTGAAATTTCCCCTATAGAACAGTGACAGGAATAAAAAAAACACATCATAATAAAACTAACATTTCATCCATGATGAACATCAAAGTGAGAAGTTCACCTAAAATATTCATACAATGAAATAATTAGAAAACGGTAATTTAATTGATATGTTTTAAACTAATTTGTATCAAAAATTATTGTTAGTGCGTTTGCCTTTTCGTAATGATTTTTTTTAATAAGTTATTAAATGCAACATTATTGTCAAAAGTCTTTTTGTAACAATTTAAAAATTATAATGATTATTTAATAATATGTGTTGCTTTTATGACCTAACAATACATTAAATACTTTGGAAGTATTAACGCCCAATGTTCCTTTTACATTATTAAATGTAAAACGTTTCTTGTTATGCGTTTTAATTTTCACTGATTTGTTTATTTACTTTTATCATAAATATAATTTTCTAATTCAGAGTAAATATTATAATAAATCATCGTATTTAAAATCATAAAAAAAAATGAGAAAAATTCTCGCTGTCCTCCGGTTTTTTTTTTTATAAATAATATTTAGCATTTGTTGCAATTACACGACGTTCCGAAATAATGCAAGTTCACAATTTTTTTGGTCACAATAGAATGATTGACGTGTTTATTTTATACACGTAGTCATATTGATCTGTAGTGAACTAAACCTTTCTTTGAAAAATATATGATGTACAAGTAAAAGGTGCATAGAGTTTGATCCTTTACCAAATTAAATTGAACCGTTATAAAGGGTTTTTGAGGCCATCTGAAGGGGCAACGGTAATGTCCTATATGGTAACAGATGGTAGTTGCTACTACAAATAATGTTTCATAACTAAAGTATATGATGAATTAAATATTTTTAACAAAATTCTTTAAGCGTTTTGTTGGATCTGCTGTATTACTTAATTGACTGTAGATTGTCAATATACAAATGAAAAGCACTTAAAATACTTTACTTAGTTTAATAAGTGTAATTGAAATTTGTCTGAAATAATTCAAAATATTAATTTGGTTTAGCATATATTATAGGTTTTTAAACGAATTTAATGAACTATAACTTAATTGTTCAATATCATTTTACATGATAAATGATTGTGAGATAATCGTTCTAAAAAATTTTTTTACAAAATGCTTGTTAATTTCACTTAATTAAAAATTGTTAGAACATGTTATTCTTAAAATAAAAAGTGAAAAATCGATGACATGACATATGTGATTATTTCAAATCCCTTACAATTATAGAATTTTCGTTTTTTCTTTATTGGCTAAATCATTGAATTGCCGTCGCTGGTGACACGCGTTAGCCATTCGAGAAAACTGGAAAACATCACGTACATTTTCTATAGTTTTTATAGCTTGACGATTTAACACTGACAAAAATTGTTTTGGTAATTTTCAATAACAAGAAAAAGGTTATCATTTGGTGTTTTTAAAACAAACTTATTTTTGGGAAGCTATCAACAATAACTTAAAATTCTATAGAAAATGGGTTGTTTATTTTTTTAGTTTAATTATTTCTCAAGAAGTGATCACAAAAAATATACTTAGTGACCACATTAAGTCTTCTGATATAAACATAAACAAATATTTGCTATAAAAAAAGAATAGAGGGTGTTATGTTACGGTTAAAGAACATGAGTCAATATTGACAATGCTAAATTGCTTAAGGTCATACTATGTTTCTAAATCACGCACTCAACTTTCTTCTCCATAAGTAATATATTTTCAAAATACGTTCTAAACAAATAACATCCACCCATCTTCTGATTTTTTCACTATATTCTTAGGAAAGAAAGTGAATTTTTTAATTTCCGAACGGTTTATTTAATAATTAATTAAATTCATCAAAAACTAATTATTTATTGTACTATATATTCAATTAGTACAAATACATCATTTTTCAGTAATGATGAAGTTTGGAAAACTAAGCTAAAAAAAATTGTTAACTAAAAATTATCTTAATTCACATTAAATATTTTTAATCAAATGTCATCATTTCGTGTTTTATCATAGTAGAAAAAATATTTCTTGAACTCAATACTCTGTTATAATAATATATGCATAAACATATATAAAATGTTTAAACGGATTTTATTCTTTTATTCATTTCAGTTCAAAAAAAAATGTTCGATTCTACTAAATTTAAAAATACATTTTAATAATATTTTATTCAAATATAAATCATTCTATCTCTAATGATAAATTATATTCGTAAGGATTTCCAGATTAATTTGTTTTTTTTTTGTTTACATAACATTTAAAGAACTTAAAAATATAAAAAATAAGAAATGGATGAATCAAACAATAGTTGTTAAGTAGGCATCTTAAACGAGCACATAATTTTCACAATTGGCCAACAATTTCCAGTTCTCGTTTTAAATAAGCGATAAAGTTTTATTTGTTTATTTGTTCTTCGTTTGCATTAAATGTATAATTCAAAGGCACAAATGTTTGTCATCAACTTGAGAATACCCTTAAAAAGCTATTGTGTTTCATCCTTTTTCTAAGAATTTTTTGCTCACATTTTTAATTTTCTATAGATACTCTTTTGAGCAATTGCTGTTAATTCAACAGTAACAGAAGAGTTTAAAAAAGTTTCAACCGTATTGGTTGTATTAGCAAACAAATCGTTTTCCGATTATCATAAAAGCATGGATGATCGTTTTAAGTATTTTAGTACCTCCTAAGATTTATTTTTTTNAATACAGCAAACAAATCGTTTTCCGATTATCATAAAAGCATGGATGATCGTTTTAAGTATTTTAGTACCTCCTAAGATTTATTTTTTTATTCAAAATCTTTATTAAAACCGGTCTCTTAGTTTTTCTACCTGTTAAATAGTAGAATTTCAAACAAATAGTTTCGCTATAGTGCATTTGTTTTTCCTATTCATGTATCTCGATCCCATAAGATCAAAGCATTCTTGTAATTTCAGGCATGAAGAATGCAGCAAATTATATATACATACCCTTTAGTGCTGGACAGATTTTTTTCCACACTGTAAGGCATCCACTTCGATGAAATTGTCCCAGTGCTAATTCCATATAAAATAACGGTAAACCACCAAATACCAGCATTACCACATATGGTATAAGAAACGCGCCTAAAATAAGGAATAATTTTAATTTATATCATATAAATACTCTTTAATTCGTAATTGTTAAATCAATTTCGTATTTGACATTTGTAATTTTTACAAAAATATAAGAATAATACTAAATTATTCAATTATAATGTCCTATAATTTTTATGTCATTTGTGACACATTACCATGCAAAATGAATGATATACATAGTATAATAGCAAAATTTTTCATTAATTATTTTTATATAAGATACTTAAAAAAAATAGTCAAACAAGTTAGTTTTTTTAATTATAAATGATAAAAAATTTATTTATAGCTTTGCACAGTATTTTAATTTTAAAACAAATATTTACCTCCACCATTTTGATAACAAATGTACGGAAATCTCCAAACGTTGCCTAGATCTACGGCAAATCCAACAACAGCCAGCAAAAATTCAATTTTTTTTTTCCATGTCTCACGGGGTGGCAAAGGTCTTCTTATTTTCTTACACTTTTTTGAACAACCAAATTTTACCGGAGGCCCCATCATAGCGGCTACCTCCTCGTCGCCATCGTCCAAACAGTCATCATTCCCACCACCCCCGCCTTCTATTTCGCCTTCATCCTCTCCCATAATCATGTCACTAAAAAAATTCATATATTCAAATGTAAAGAAAAAATTTAAATGGATAGATTATGTATACAGAGTCGTATTTAAAGAGGTGTACGGAGAGGTATTATCTCTCCGAATCTTTGGCGTAATTTTGTTACAACCAAAAAAATAAATTTTAAATAAGACCCTGGTTAGATAAATTCAATTTATTAATCTACAAATATATACAGAATGTTCCGCCATGATTTAGTAATTTAAATATCCTCTAGATAATCAAATTAGTAAATCACGGTGGGACACCTGTACATTAGAAATAATACTTTATTAACAAATATATTTTCAATAAACCTCTAAAATAATAAATCAGTTACAGAACAATTATCTAGTGTTTTTTTTATGACATACAAATAAATTTTTAAATAAAAAAATTTTATTTTATAATTATTCAAAAAACTTTAAGTTGAACCAAAATATGAATAGCCCTTTAATAATGCATTTTTATCCATTACAATAAAAAAAACATAGGATATAACAATAAATGCATAATCAAAATACGTCCAATAAAGTTTTTATTAAATAAATCTTATTTTTTTTATTAATTTAACCATTTTTTTTGTAAGAAGAATACTAATTTAATTAAATTAAAATATTTTTTATTTATTTTAATTAATAAATATTAAATTAATATTATGAACAAATTTTTATTTATCTATAATTTTTAACAACAAAATGTACGATCAAAGTTCCCAACAATTCAGAAAAATGATATACTTAATAATCCAAATTTTTTCTTAACGAAAAATATATAACATACTCGGAGTCATAATAGAATAAATAAATAATTGTTATTATTTATTTACTATAGTTAAATTATTGCATAAACTAAATTGTTTTAATTTCCTACGAGTTTTCCAAGAATACAACAAAACAAAACAGAGTTTCCAAAATTTTAATACATTATAAATATATTTTACATTTAATACATAAAAATGATTTGTTTTTGCTAAAAATCTTAACTTTACAGCATTTGTGTTTTCTTGGTTGTCCCACTGGAGTGACATTCCAAAAGTAACATAAACTAATGATACCTTAAGTTAATTTAATAGAATGCAATAAATTCTCAAAAATAAATAACTCAAATGCAATTTAATAAGATTAATAAATTACTATTTAAAGTGACATATGGCCGATTAAAGTTTGTTTGACCTTGATTTGAATAATTCACGTTACTGAAATAAACTGCACCGCCTGAAGTTTATTACATGGTAATTTTACATCAATAGTTGTGCGCTTAAATGCTTTATGAACGTTTGTTCGACATTCCATAAACATATACCTTAATAAACGAGACATATAAAGTGCATACAGTGCCTATCAAATCAGTTGTTTTGGGTTTATATTGTGATTTATATTAAATAAACGTCAAACATTTATCAAATATGACGCCAAACTGTTAGTAAATAATAGACAATTTTCCCTGGAAAAGAATGCAGACTCTGCTAACTACGATTAATAATTTTCTTATAAATAATTATCAAATATAAATTTCGCACAATTAAAATATGTAAATTTTCATACATAAAGAAACGAAGACTAACTGAAAAATTAAAATATATATGTATCATTACCAAATCTAAGTACGAATGTGATACCAATAAAACTTTGATAATATAATTTCAATTAACTATCAAAAATTGAAACTAAATGTTGAAATGAAAATCAATGATCTTAATATCATGACAATATTTATAATTGATTTAGTAGTAATTCAACATCATTAATTTCTAACAAAAATATAAAACTTAAATGATAAAATGCAATGAACCGCGATATATGTCAATTCCAAATACTCTAATATACTCAGCATGTCATAAACTATGAACATTAGAAACATTTTTGTCAGAAAAATATCTACAAATTTAAGATTTATAAAAATTGAGTTATAAAAGTTCACTTAAAAAATTAATTACAACTAAAAATAAGTAACTGTTTATTAAACAAATTAAAAGAAAATCATCTTCTACTAGCTAATGAACAGTCCAGACATTAATTTGGGCATTTCATGCACCGAAGATTACTATGTGCCGGTTCACTGGTTTTATAGCAATTTAGTTCCTTCAAACTAAAATTACTGATCAATTTCAGTATTGATATGGATATAGAAAATTTAATTATTTCCCCATAATTCTATATAACTGAAAATCATTTATATTCTAAAGAGACTACCTCAAATTATATATTAGAATATATTTCAACATTTTAATTAAATGAACAGTGAAAAATAATTCTTGTTTTATTTTTAATTTTTACTTGAAATAATTTTATATTTTTTTGAAAATAAGATTTGAAGAACATAATATTTTAAATAATTACAAGATGGTTATTCCTTTATAAATGTTATACATCAAAATACAGACAGTAATCAACTTTTAGTTCAGTCAATTGAACCCTTATTTTTCTGATATTACTCAAGATTATAAAAAAATGAGTTCCTCACAGGTCAAATCAAACTATATTTTTTGTCAATTTTATTACTATACATTTTTTTTTGTACGTTTTACAATACAATCATTTTAATGTAATCATTTTACAATTACAAATCATATTTTATCGATGTCACATTTGATTTATTTTCATTTATGAAATATTTTTCTTTACAGAACGACACGATTGCTTGTCAATAGTTGTCGTCATGACTGCAAATTATCCATATCTACTCTATTTTAATATATACTTCATTATTATATAAAGTAAACATAATTTTACTAATCCATATAATTTATAATAACTCATTACTATAATAACTATTATTGTTTATTAATCATAGGCAATTATTTTTAATTATATTAAATGTTTAATACGTTTGTTGTAATGAATCAAAAAACATGAAACCAAATTTCATAAAAATAATACTTAATTTATTAAATTTTAAACATTTTAATACTTTGATTCATAAGATAGTGCAATAAAGGAAATAAGAACATATATTATTTCTAAAAAAAAAAATAATGCTAATATAATATTTCACGCTACTCGTAAATATATATGGGTCGTTATAATGAAATAGTAAAGATATTATTATTTGGTTACCAAAAATAGGCTAATGTATGTATACAATAAATATATAGGTAATAGAATTACCTATCGTACTATCTTTATGTATCAGGCCCTATATTTATGAGTAATTTGATACAACGTATGCATTATAAATTCATAAGTTAGCACTTCAAGTATATATGAAACGTATTTAGAATTTTCAAGACTCAAGAAAGATAAGTTTTTTCAGTCGTTATAACATTTTATTTGCTTATCAAAAATAGTTTGGCACGCAATTTTACAAATAGAATACTTTTTTAAAAAGAGATTTAACAGAAATAAGAGAAGCAACAATTTTTAAGGTTTTAGTATAAAAATCATTACATAATTATTATGAATAAATATACATATATGAAGAGTGAATGTGTCAAACGTTCTATGTGCCAAAAAATTGAAAAATTGTTTTATTTCTGATTTATGTTCTATGAGCCAAAGGTCACAATCTTGTATGTGTTTCAAGTGTCAATTAAATTTTTTACTTGTACAAAATTGCGTTCATAGATTGTATTTGTTCTGTGAGCCATGCCCTTTGTTACCTGTACGTTCTAAGTGCCTTGGGCGAATATAATAGTTTGACGATTACAATATTATAATATAGTCCGTTATATTTCAAAATAACTAATACTGGTGTTGTTGTATTCGTTAAGTTTTCTTTTTCATTTGTTTAATTGTGTTATTATGGATACTGAAAGTATACATATTTTACGAAGTGGTAAAAAAAGAATTAGTGGAAAATCGTATGCGACCAGGAAAAGCAATAATACAATTCAGGAAAGCGTCAACTTAGTTGTTATAACTTTGGAATACATCTCGGTGACAGCAATACAGCCTTTATGTATATGTGGGATGAAAGTATTGCTTCTCGTGGAAGCTCAGAAATCGCTTCTTGTCTTTTTCAAGTTATTAACAAAAACGAAAATACGATAAATCGCAAAAAACTAATTATATGGTCAGACAACTGTGCTGGCCAAAATAAAAATAAAACGTTAGTAGTTTTGATGTTATATTTAATAAATATGAGGATATTTGATGAGATTATACAAAAAATTTTGATAAGTGGCCACTCTCTCTTGGCTTGTGATCGTGATTTCGCTATTATCGAAAAGAAATGTAGTTTTTCAAAATTTCACTCCTTCTGATTTACAAGAAATGGTTAGAGCAGCGAAGTTGATAAATCCATTTCGAGTTATTCCGATGGATGAAAACAACTTTTTTTCATTTTTCACTTTTTTTCACACAAGACATTGCTAACAATTTTTTTAACCAAGTTTCCAATGTTCGATGATTAAAGTTTCATTTTTAACTCCCAAAAAAATCTATTATAAAAAAACATTTTCAGATGAAGAACTTTGGAAAGATTTTAACGTTTTTAAAAGAAATGCTACTATAGACCAACTTAAAAATCAGACATTTATACCTATACCGAAACCCACATTGTCGTCAGAGAAGAAAAAAGATTTGTTGGCCATGATTCCTTTTTTACCTGATAAGCACAGAAACTTCTATAAAAATATAACGTCATGAATTAATTTTTTTTGCTATTTATTATGATGTTGCTATGTTCTAATTATGTTTAATCTAGATTTTTTTTTAAATTATTATTAGGTTTGTTAATTTATTTTTCAATTTGTGATACTCAAGAAAGCTACTGTTTTCTTTTCTTGTTACATTTTTATATGAAGAAAAAATTTTATTTTACGTTTTGAGATTTACTGACAATGTCATGTTAGTTTAAGAGTATTTTTTATTTAAGTTTGTACATTTATTTTTCAATTTGTGATACTCAAAAAAAGTGTTGATTTTTTTACATATTTTATAAAAATATATATGAAGTCTTAATAAAATAAAGAATGATTTTCTGTTATCTATAATAAAATATTGGTACTTGGAACGATAATATTATCACATTATTTGAAACTTGGAACTTTAATATTA